GTCTCTGAGTCTCTGCGTCTCTGCGTCTCTGCGACTCTGCGTCTCTGCGTCTCTGCGACTCTGCGTCTCTGCGTCTCTGCGTCTCTGCGTCTCTGCGTCTCTGAGTCTCTGCGTCTCTGCGTCTCTGAGTCTCTGCGTCTCTGCGTCTCTGAGTCTCTGCGTCTCTGCGTCTCTGCGTCTCTGCGACTCTGCGTCTCTGAGTCTCTGCGTCTCTGCGTCTCTGAGTCTCTGTGTCTCTGTGTCTCTGTGTCTCTGCGTCTCTGCGACTCTGCGTCTCTGCGTCTCTGCGTCTCTGCGTCTCTGAGTCTCTGCGTCTCTGCGTCTCTGCGTCTCTGAGTCTCTGCGTCTCTGCGTCTCTGAGTCTCTGCGTCTCTGCGTCTCTGAGTCTCTGTGTCTCTGCGTCTCTGAGTCTCTGCGTCTCTGCGACTCTGCGTCTCTGCGTCTCTGCGTCTCTGCGTCTCTGAGTCTCTGCGTCTCTGCGTCTCTGAGTCTCTGCGTCTCTGCGTCTCTGCGTCTCTGCGTCTCTGCGTCTCTGAGTCTCTGCGTCTCTGCGTCTCTGCGTCTCTGCGTCTCTGCGTCTCTGCGTCTCTGCGTCTCTGCGTCTCTGCGTCTCTGCGTCTCTGCGACTCTGCGTCTCTGCGTCTCTGCGTCTCTGCGTCTCTGCGTCTCTGCGTCTCTGCGTCTCTGCGTCTCTGAGTCTCTGAGTCTCTGCGTCTCTGCGTCTCTGCGTCTCTGCGTCTCTGCGTCTCTGAGTCTCTGCGTCTCTGCGTCTCTGCGTCTCTGCGTCTCTGCGTCTCTGAGTCTCTGCGTCTCTGAGTCTCTGCGTCTCTGCGTCTCTGCGTCTCTGCGTCTCTGCGTCTCTGCGTCTCTGAGTCTCTGCGTCTCTGCGTCTCTGCGTCTCTGCGTCTCTGCGTCTCTGAGTCTCTGCGTCTCTGCGTCTCTGCGTCTCTGCGTCTCTGCGTCTCTGCGTCTCTGCGTCTCTGCGTCTCTGCGTCTCTGCGTCTCTGCGTCTCTGAGTCTCTGCGTCTCTGCGTCTCTGCGTCTCTGCGTCTCTGCGTCTCTGCGTCTCTGCGTCTCTGCGTCTCTGCGTCTCTGAGTCTCTGCGTCTCTGCGTCTCTGCGTCTCTGCGTCTCTGCGTCTCTGCGTCTCTGCGTCTCTGCGTCTCTGCGTCTCTGCGTCTCTGCGTCTCTGAGTCTCTGCGTCTCTGCGACTCTGCGTCTCTGCGTCTCTGCGTCTCTGAGTCTCTGCGTCTCTGCGTCTCTGCGTCTCTGCGACTCTGCGTCTCTGCGTCTCTGCGTCTCTGCGTCTCTGCGTCTCTGCGTCTCTGCGTCTCTGCGTCTCTGAGTCTCTGCGACTCTGCGACTCTGCGACTCTGCGACTCTGGTCTCTGCGTCTCTGCGTCTCTGCGTCTCTGCGTCTCTGCGTCTCTGCGTCTCTGCGTCTCTGCGTCTCTGCGTCTCTGCGTCTCTGCGTCTCTGAGTCTCTGCGTCTCTGCGACTCTGCGTCTCTGCGTCTCTGCGTCTCTGCGACTTTGCGTCTCTGCGTCTCTGCGTCTCTGAGTCTCTGCGTCTCTGCGTCTCTGCGTCTCTGCGTATCTGCGTATCTGCGTCTCTGCGTCTCTGCGTCTCTGCGTCTCTGCGTCTCTGAGTCTCTGCGTATCTGCGTCTCTGCGTCTCTGCGTCTCTGCGTATCTGCGTATCTGCGTATCTGCGTCTCTGCGTCTCTGCGTATCTGCGTATCTGCGTCTCTGAGTCTCTGCGTCTCTGCGTATCTGCGTCTCTGCGTCTCTGCGTCTCTGCGTCTCTGAGTCTCTGCGTATCTGCGTATCTGCGTCTCTGAGTCTCTGCGTCTCTGCGTCTCTGCGTATCTGCGTATCTGCGTCTCTGCGTCTCTGCGTATCTGCGTATCTGCGTCTCTGCGTCTCTGCGTCTCTGCGTCTCTGCGTCTCTGCGTCTCTGCGTCTCTGCGTCTCTGCGTCTCTGCGTCTCTGCGTCTCCGCGCTCTCGGCGTATCCGCGTCTCCGCGTCTCCGCGTCTCCGAGTCTCCGTGTATCCGCGTATCCGCGTCTCCGCGTCTCCGCGTCTCCGCGTCTCCGCGTATCCGCGTCTCCGCGTCTCCGAGTCTCCGCGTCTCCGCGTCTCCGCGTCTCCGCGTCTCGCGTCTCCGAGTCTCCGCGTCTCCGCGTCTCCGCGTCTCCGCGTCTCCGAGTCTCCGCGTCTCCGCGTCTCCGCGTCTCCCGAGGTCTCCGCGTCTCCGCGTCTCCGCGTCTCCGCGTCTCCGCGTCTCCGCGTCTCCGCGTCTCCGCGTCTCCGGCTCCGCGGTCTCCGCGTCTCCGAGTCTCCGCGTCTCCGCGTCTCCGCGTCTCCGCGTCTCCGCGTCTCCGCGTCTCCGCGTCTCCGCGTCTCCGCGTCTCCGCGTCTCCGCGTCTCCGCGTCTCCGAGTCTCCGCGTCTCCGCGTCTCCGCGTCTCCGCGTCTCCGCGTCTCCGCGTCTCCGCGTCTCCGCGTCTCCGCGTCTCCGCGTCTCCGCGTCTCCGCGTCTCCGCGTCTCCGCGTCTCCGCGTCTCCGCGTCTCCGCGTCTCCGCGTCTCCGCGTCTCCGCGTCTCCGCGTCTCCGCGTCTCCGCGTCTCCGCGTCTCCGCGTATCCGCGTCTCCGCGTCTCCGCGTCTCCGCGTCTCCGCGTCTCCGCGTCTCCGCGTCTCCGCGTCTCCGCGTCTCCGCGTATCGCTGTCTCCGCGTCTCCGAGTCTCCGCGTATCCGCGTATCCGCGTCTCCGAGTCTCCGCGTCTCCGCGTCTCCGCGTATCCGCGTCTCCGCGTCTCCGCGTCTCCGCGTCTCCGCGTATCCGCGTCTCCACGCGTCTCCGAGTCTCCGCGTCTCCGGCGTCTCCGCGTCTCGCGTCTAGCGGCTCCGCGTCTCCGAGTCTCCGCGTCTCCGCGTCTCCGAGTCTCCGCGTCTCCATCTCCGCCGTCTCCTCCGCGTCTCCGCGTCTCCGCGGCTCCGCGTCTCCGCGTCCCGAGTCCCCGCGTCCCCGCGTCCCCGCGTCCCCGCGTCCCCGCGTCCCCGCGTCCCCCGCTCCCCGCGTCCCCCGCGTCCCCGCGTCCCCGCGTCCCCGCGTCCCCGCGTCCCCGCGTTCCCCGCGTCCCCGCGGCCCCCGCGTCCCCGCGTCCCCGCGTCCCCGCGTCCCCGCGTCCCCCGCGTCCCCGCGTCCCCGCGTCCCCGCGTCCCCGCGTCCCGCGTCCCGCGTCCCCCGGTCCCCGCGTCCCCGCGTCCCCCGCGTTCCCCGCGTCCCCGCGTCCCCGCGTCCCCGCGTCCCCGCGTCCCCGCGTCCCCGCGTCCCCGCGTCCCCGCGTCCCCTCGACTCTGCGTCTCTGCGTCTCGTGTGCTGGGGAGTGACGCAGCGGTTCGCGTGCTGCGCTACGACCCCGGCCACTCGGGTTCGATTCCCGCTCGTGGCCAACACCGGTGACGGTTATCCGAACCGGTCTTGGGCCTCCCCTAGGTCGATTCGGCCTCATTTGAGTACCTGGTGCGGTGTGTAAACATTGTCACTGGGAAGACAAAGGCGGCCGGGCACGCTGCTGGCCACCTACCCCCTCGTGTGCCGTGCCGGCCTTCACAGGCTAACTAACAGCACTTGCCCCTACAGTCTGTTAAGGCTACACGGGGATCTCTGTGCTGCGCGTGTATCCGTGCGTGCGTGTGTAGCCCACCTCGCTGTGCCGCGCTTCCTCGGGCGTCTCGGGGCTGTCGGCCGCCACCCTGGCGTCGCTGGGCAACGGAGGGGGGCCCCGGGGGGGGCCACCCGGCTGGGAGGGGGTGCGGGGGGGGCCCGCGGGGTCCTCGCGGAGGGGCAGCGGAGACACGAGCGCCTCCCTCGAGTCGGAGGCGTGTGTGCGCGAGCTCCGGGTGAGGCGGCACGGGGACACGGACACGGGGGGACAAGGGGACACGGGGACAAGGGGACACGGGGACAAGGGGGTTCGGTGGCACGGGGGTAGAGGGCACGGGGGCACATAGACACGGGGACAAAGGGGTTTGGTGGCACGGGGGTAGAGGGCACGGGGGCACGGAGACACGTGCCAGGGGACGGAGACACGCGCCAGGGAATGGGGACACAGGGATTGAGTGCAAGGGGACACAATGACCTGGACAAATGGAGGTGCAGAGGTACAGAGGCATCGGGACATGCTTCAAATTATTATTTTGTATTATTACGTTTGCGAGACAACTGTGGAGATGGAGCGGCCGTGCACGACCCGCGAGCGTAGGACTCTGGGATATTGTTGGGGGTGGGGGGGGGGGAGCGGTGCAGGTGCCATGGCGCAGACGTCCGGAGGGAGATGGAATCGCCCCGAGGCCACTCATGAATCGTTAACGCGTGCACGGAATTGTGGCCGCGCCGGTTGGGGCTTGTGGGGTAGGAAACAATAAGGGGGAGGCATTCGTTTGTTCTGCCAGATGTTCACCTGGATTAAAGGGGGGGCACGCGACCGACACTTCGTCACTGCAGTGGCAGCAGCAGCGCCAGCAGCATCAGCAGCAAAAGCAGCAGCAGTGCCAGCAGCATCAGCGGCAGCAGCAGCAGCAGCAGCAGCGCCAGCAGCAGCAGCAGCAGCGCCAGCAGCAGCGTGAGCACCAGTTACCCTGACCTGAGAAGCAGCAACAGCAGTAACATCAGCAGCGGCAGCTGTGGCAGCAGCGCTGGCATCAGTGGTTACAACGGAAGCAGCTGTAGCAGGAGCAGCAAGGGCAGCTGTGGCAGCGCTATCAGCAGTCGTGACAGAAGCAGCAGCATCAGCAGCAGCATCATCATCAGCAGCAGCAGCAGCAGCAGCATCAGCAGCAGCATCATCATCAGCAGCAGCAGCAACAGCAGCAGCGTTGAAGCAGCAACTGTGAGACGGCCCGCCCGCGTCTCTACGGAACTCCATCTCCCTCCCTGCTTGCGAGTAGAGTTCCTCACGGCGTAGGGGAACTGGCAAGTGATGCTCAAGTGAGAGGTTGGCTTCAGGTTTCAGCGGTTTTAGTTGTCGCGGTTCCCAAGTAGAATATTAATTTCCCATCGCGGCCGCGATTCGAATTTGCGCGGCGCGCAAATCTGCGAACGCGGCTCGCGGTGCCGAGCGGACTACCGGGTCGGGAGCGCCGGGAGCCGGGCTGAGAGAGTTTTATTTTTCGAAGATGTCGTCGTCCGAGGAGTCTCCGGAACGCAACCTCGCGGTCCGGACCCCCCGACCGGAAGAACCGACCGCGGGGCGTCGTGACGATGGCGAGGAGGTGGAGGTTGAGGAGGAGGCGCGACTGGGAGGCCCTACTCACAATGGCGGTGCTGGTGACGGACGACGTGGCCTTGATAATGGTGGCGATGGCAACGATGTTGGGGGACAGGAAGAGCAGGGGAAGGAAACAGGACCCGACTGCTGCGATGACGACGACGATGCTGCTGGTGGTGATGATCACGATGATGGTGTTGAGGTGGAGCATCGAGGACCTGATTCTGACAAAGAAGACAACAAAGACGACCATCAACATCATGATGACGGTGGTGGTGATTGTCGTCGTCATCATCAGCAGGATGATTTCCACCGTCAAAATGATGAGCAGCGACGATTTAATGAAGGCAGCGACGGTGGCGACGATGGTGGTCAACAACATCAACCTTGCCCTTCCAACGAAGATGATGACAGCGGTGGTGGAGATGACGGTGATGATGGGGCTGATGATGATGATGATGAAGAGGGTGCTCTCGTCGCTTTGCCACCACGATCGTCATCATTGCTGCTTCTGTCTGCGCTCCGTCGAGTCGATATTGATTCCCAGCATGCTGGCTCTCTCGGCTCCGCCCAACTCAACATCCCGGATTCTCTGGACTCACCAGCACACGGCTTACCGGACTCACCACCGTACGGCTTACCGGACTTTCTGAGCTACTCACCACACGGCTTACCGGAGTCACCACTACATGACTTAACAGACTCTCTGGGCTACTTGCCACATGGCTTACGGGAGTCACCACTGCAGAGCTTACCAGACTCATCACCGTATGGCTTAGCGGACTCACCAGAACCTTCACACATCCTGTCAGATTCTTCACCTCACGGCTTACCGGACTCGCCAACGCACGGCTTACCAGACTCATTACTGCCTGGCTTAACAGCCTTGCCAGGCTCCTCACCACAAAGCTTACAGAACTCATCACCGCACGGCTTACCAGACTCATCACCGCACGGCTTACCAGACTCATCACCGCACGGCTTACCAGACTCATCACCGCATGGCTTACCAGACTCATCACCGGATGGTTTGCCAGACTCATCGCCGGATGGCTTACCAGACTCATCGCCGGATGGCTTGCCAGACTCATCACCGGACGGCTTGCCAGACTCATCGCCGCACGGCTTACCAGACTCATCACCGGATGGCTTGCCAGACTTACCACCGCACAGCTTGCCGGTTTTAGCAGACTCCACATCACACATCCTGCAGGATTCTTCGCCACCCGGCTTACAGAATTTCCCACCGAAGGACTTCTCGGAATCCTTTGGGAATAGCTCGCGGGACTCATCGTACCATGGGTCCTCGCCGGACTCTCCCCGGCTCGGCTCATCGGACGACGTCGGAGACGCCGGGGATGCCGTGGCGGACGACTCGGACGACGACCGGGACTCGGATCGCCCGGTGGGGCGCTCGGTCTGGCCGGGCCCACGTGGCTGCCCCGGTCGCACTCGCCCCCGCCGGCGGGCGGAGGAGTGTTTGCACTACCGCGTCATCTTGTGCCGTGCCGCGCTTCTCCGTGGCACGCTTATCTTCCACCCCCTTTTCCACCGGGGCAAATCCGAGCCAAGCCAGCGGCGGCACCGTGATCCGGAGATCTGAATGGGCCCTGGGGGGCGGGGGGGAGGGGGCAGGGGTGGTGCTAACAGACACGTTCTCTTTTTAAATCCTTTATATTAAGTTCACTTGCTTGCTTGCGCGCTTACGACCATGCAAATCTTTCGGTCGTTTTTTAACCCACTTCCCGTGATCAAATTGAGCTGACATTTTGCATACAGACTCGTTGTGCGTGACAATTTATTTTCGTGAAAAATTTTTTCCTAAATTTTACACTTTTTAGGAAAAAAGAAATTATATTTAATTACCAATTGCTTAATGGTGGCAGGCAATCATCTGACCCATAGGTGGCAGCCATCTCAAGCCAGAGGACGAGAGGACTCTAGCCGCCACGCATATAAAGGATTTATAGTGAAAAACTTTGTTTTAACGGGTTAATTTTTTTTAAGTGTGATGTCGACGGCACGGCTCGGGGAAAGAAAAAAAAAGACGTGAGCCGGCGCCGTGCCCGGCCGAGCACGGCGCCGGCTCGGTTCGCTCGCACCGTGGGAACGGCGGCATCAGCCCCCCTCCTCCCCCGGTGCACCGGCTGCCGGTTCAGTTGCTGCACCGGGGCTTGGGCCCCGCGGGGTCCCACGGAGAGCAGGGGGCAGAGCAGGGGGCCGTCGTCATGGCCGCGAGTCGTGTTGACGGGGCCACGCCTCGCTCGCTCACGGTGCGCCGCTCTTAAGGAGGAGGGCGGTGGGGGGGATGGGGTGGGGGGGTTCACCTCTGTGCCAGATGTGCTGGCGGGAGTCCAGCGTTGAAGGAATTGACATCCTTAAAGAGGATTCGCATCCTTCAGAAACGTACATCCTTGGGTTCATTTGTAACCTTACAGGCCGGCTGGCCCGGCGGTAGAGCACGCGGCTCACGATCGGAGGCTCGCGAGTTTAAGCACTGGCTGTGTTGGTGCTTGACTCAGCCCATCATCTTTCCCTCTGGCGTCAATGAACTATATACTGTCGATTCTCGATTATCTGCGTGCGGTTTGTCCGATTTGCGGATTAACCGCACACCTGAGATTTTGACGTAAATAATAACGCGTGGATTTTCCCTTGAGCCCCAAATGAATAATCTAAAAACAGTTATACATTGTCATTCTTGGAAATTGTACTTCAAGTCACGTGCTTAAACCAAACAAATATGTTGCGTCTGTAAATTTGAAATCCACGCAATTGCCTCTACAGTACAGTAGTTGCATATCTTTACAACGGTGGGTGGAGTTTGATTGATGTTGATTGGCGTGGCTCTGCTGCTATCCACTTCGTGGGCAGAGTCTTCTGTGCAGGAGCAGGAAAGTGTTATCACTGAGCACACGCATCAATCGATCTGTCGTGAGTATTCGTTCTAAATCTAAAGAGTAGCAATCGAACTCGCCAGTTGTGCTGTGTTTTGAGTGATTTATCCGATCATTTATTTTGCGGGTTGTAATTCACGAAACTGTGCAATGGCAGAGACACTCAAACTTAATTTATTTCTTTACGAGTGGTGTTTGGCATAGAGATCCGTGGAAAATGGTTCTATTTTTAGACAATTATCCACAACCGTCCTCCCGGTCATTATCGTGGATAATGGAGAGTCTCACTGTGACGAGTTGCGTGGAAGTCAGCAGCGGTTGTCTCTGAAGGAAAAGCCTCACCCTCCCCCCCCACCCCCCCCTCACCCCCCTCACCATAGGAATGTGGAATTTCCAAGACGTGTTCTGCAGGGCTGTTAACGGCAATTGGGCCTCAGTGCTCATTTGAGCAGGACATGACTTTGTTCCAAGGAGTTTACACTCTTTAGCAAATTGGTATGCGGTCAGGTGGAGACGTCCTTCAGCACGTTGTAGTCTTCGGGGCGCTTGTTGCAGAGGGTCACGGTTTGAATCCGGCAGGCCGCCTGGTTATTACTGCGGTGAGAATCAACCGCTAATAATACGACACTTCACGCGGGCCATTGAAACCCACAGACTCACACATAGATCTATAGATTCACACTGAGACCCATAGACTCACAGAAAGACCCACAGACTGACACAGAAACCCATAGACTCACACGGAGACCCATATACTCACACGGAGACCCATAGACTCACACAGAAATCTATAGATTCATACTGAGACCCATAGACTCATACATAGATCTATAGATTCACACTGAGACCCATAGACTCACAGAAAGACCCACAGACTGACACAGAAACCCATAGACTCACACGGAGACCCATATACTCACACGGAGACCCATAGACTCACACAGAAATCTATAGATTCATACTGAGACCCATAGACTCATACATAGATCTATAGATTCACACTGAGACCCATAGACTCGCAGAAAGACCCACAGACTGACACAGAAACCCATAGACTCACACGGAGACCCATATACTCACACGGAGACCCATAGACTCACACAGAAATCTATAGATTCATACTGAGACCCATAGACTCATACATAGATCTATAGATTCACACTGAGACCCATAGACTCGCAGAAAGACCCACAGACTGACACAGAAACCCATAGACTCACACGGAGACCCATATACTCACACGGAGACCCATAGACTCACACAGAAATCTATAGATTCATACTGAGACCCATAGACTCATACATAGATCTATAGATTCACACTGAGACCCATAGACTCACAGAAAGACCCACAGACTGACACAGAAACCCATAGACTCACACGGAGACCCATATACTCACACGGAGACCCATAGACTCACACAGAAATCTATAGATTCATACTGAGACCCATAGACTCATACATAGATCTATAGATTCACACTGAGACTGATAGACTCACACAGAGACCCATAGGCTCAATAGAGACCCATAGACTCGTACAGAGACCCATAGATTCACACAGAGATCTATAGATTCATACTGAGACCCATAGACTCACACAGAGATCTATTCGAAGGAGGAGGCATCATCACAGCAGTAGTGATTCACCATTCCGCTATTCCTCGCGCAATCATCTGGCTCGCGCGCCACGTCGATGTGACATTACAGCTGCTGCTCTGCACCAACATGAGCAGCCACGCGACGGAGCGGGCGCCCTCCTGCGTGGCGATCGCCTTGCGGCGCTGTGCGAACAAAAGCGCCAATACACTCGGCTATGACGATGACGACGGTGACGACGGTGATGATGGCGATTGTTTGATCTGCAACGTGCAGGACTCGCTGGGGGAGGCGGAGGAGCGCTACCGGCGTGCGATGGTGCGCGCCGCGCAGCTGGACAACGAGAAGGCGGCGCTGGCCTACGAGGTGGAGGCGCTGCGCGACGCCCTGGAAGGGGCCGAGGAGTCACTCGCCCAGGAGCAGCGGCGCTGCGAGCAGCGCGGACTGGTGAGGGGGGCACCCCCTCCCCTCGCCCCTCCCCTCGCCCCTCCCCTCTCGCCCCTCCCCTCTCCCTCCCCTCTCCCTCCCCTCGCCCTCCCCTCTCCCTCCCCTCTCCCTCCCCTCGCCCTCCCCTCTCCCTCCCCTCTCCCTCCCCTCTCCCTCCCCTCTCCCCCTCCCCTCTCGCCCCTCCCCTCTCCCTCCCCTCGCCCTCCCCTCTCCCTACCCTCTCCCTCCCCTCTCCCTCCCCCTCCCTACCCATCTCCTTCCCTCTCCCTCCCCTCTCCACCAACTCGCCCTCACCTCTCCCTCCCTCTCCCTCCCTCTCACCTCTCGAGCGCCCCTCCCTCTCCTCCCCTCTCTCCCTCCCCTCTCCCTCCCCTCTCATCCCTCCCCTCTCCCAACTCCCCTCTCCCTCCCCTCTCGCCTGCCCCTCTCCCTCCCCTCTCCCACCCCCTCGCCCTCACCCTCGCCCTCCCCTCTCCCCCTCCCCTCGCAGCCCCTCCCCTCTCCCTCCCCTCGCCCTCTACCCGCCCTCGTCCCGACCCTCTTCCCTCCCCTCTCCCTCCCCTCTCCCTCCCCTCTCCCTCCCCTCGGCCCTCCCCCTTCTCCCGCCCCTCTTCCCTCCCTCCTCTACCTCCCCTCTCCCTCCCCTCTCCCCTCCCCTCTCCCACCCCTCGCCCTCCCCTCTCCCTCCCCTCTCCCACCCCCTCGCCCTCGCCCTCTCCCACCCCCCCTCGCCCTCCCCTCTCCCTCCCTCTCCCACCCCCCTCGCCCTCTCCTCTCCCTCCCCGCCGCCCTCCCCTCTTCCTCCCCTCTCCACCCTATCCCACCCCTCCCTCCCCTCCCCCTCCCCCTCCCTCTCCCACCCCTCTCCCACCCCTCGCCCTCCCTCGCCCTCCCCTCTCCCTACCCTCGTCCCTCCCCTCTCCCTCCCCTCTCCCACCCCTCGCCCCCCCTCTCCCTCCCCTCTCCCACCCCTCGCCCTCACCCTCTCCCCCCCCTCGCCCTCCCCTCTCCCTCCCCTCTCCCTCCCTCTCCTCCCCTCTCCCTCCCCCTCTCCCTCCCTCAGCCCTCCCCTCTCTCCCTCCCCTCTCCACCCCTCGCCCTCACCCTCTCCTCCCCTCGCCCTCCCCTCTCTCCTTCCCCTCTCCACCCCTCTCCACCCCTCGCCCTCCCATCGCCGGCCCTCCCTCTCCGCACCCCTCTCCCACCCCTCGCCCTCCCACCTCCGACCCTCCCCTCGCCCTCTCCCTTCTCCTCTCCTCCCTCTCCTCCCCTCTCCCTAAAAAAACCTCGTCCCAACCCTCTCCCACCCCTCGCCCTCCCCATCGCCCTCCCCTCTCCTCCCCTCTCCTCCCCTCGCCCTCCCCTCTCCCTCCCCTCTCCCACCCCTCTCCTCCCCTCCCCTCCCCGCCCCTCCCCTCCCCTGTCCCTCCCTCCCCTCCCCACCACTCCCTTCCCCGCCCCTCCCCTCCCCTCCCCCTCCCTCCCCTCCCCTCCCGTCCCTCCGCCCTCCCCGTCAACCATCCCCTCCCCTCCCATCCCCTCCCCTCCCCTTCCTTCCCTCCCCGCCCTCCCTGCCCTCCCCTCCCCTCCCTCCCCTCCCAATTAACTTCCCTCCCCGCCACCTCCACTCCCCTTCCCCTCCCCTCCCATCCCCGCCCCTTCACTCCCCTCCCCTCCACGCCACTCCCCTCCCCTCCCCTCCCCTCCCTTTCCCTTTCCCTCCCCTCCCCCCTCCCCTTCCCTCCCTCCACTCCCCCGCCTCCCTTCCCTACTCCCCCCCTCACCTCCCCCCCCTCCCCCCCCCTAACGCCCCTCCCTCCCCACCCCCTCCCCTCCCCTCCCCTCCCCTCACCCTCCCCTCCCCTCCCCACCCCTCCCCGCCCACTCTCCCTCCCCTCTCCCTCCCCTCTCCCTCCCCGTCTCCCTCCCTCTCCCTCCCTCTCCCTCCCCTCTCCCTCCCCTCTCCCTCCCCTCTACCTCCCCTCTCCCCTCCCCTCTCCCTCCCCTCTCCCTCCCCTCTCCCTCCCCTCTCCCTCCCCTCTCCCTCCCCTCTCCCTCCCCTCTCCCTCCCCTCGCCCTCCCCTCCTCCCTCCCCTCTCCCTCCCCTCTCCCTCCCCTCTCCCTCCGTCTCCCTCCCCTCTCCTCCCCTCTCCCTCCCTCTCCTCCCCTCTCCCTCCCCTCTCCCTCCCCGCTCCCTCCCCTCTCCCTCCCCTCTCCCTCCCCTCTCCCTCCCATCTCCCTCCCCTCTCCCCCCCTCTCCCTCCCTCTCCCTCCCCTCTCCCTACCCTCTCCCTCCCTCTCCCTCCCCTCTCCCTCCCCTTCCCTCCCCTTCCCTCCCCTCCCTCCCCTCGCCCCTCCTCCCCGTCTCCCTCCCCTCTCCCTCCCCTCTCCCTCCCTCTCCCTCCCCTCTCCCACCCCTCTCCCATCCCCTCGCCCCTCCCCTCTCCCTCCCTCTCCCTCCCCTCTCCCTCCCCTCTCCCTCCCCTCTCCCTCCCGTCTCCCTCCCCTCGCCCTCCCCTCTCCCACCCCCTCTCCCTCCCCTCTCCCACCCCTCTCCCTCCCCTCTCCCACCCCTCTCCCTCCCCTCTCCCTCCCCTCTCCCTCCCCTCTCCCTCCCCTCTCCCTCCCCTCGCCCTCCCCTCTCCCTCCCCTCTCCCTCCCCTCTCCCTCCCGTCACCCACCCGGTCTCCCATTGCCCCTACCCCGAATTGATGACACCACCACTCAGCTGTCCGCTCCAGGAGCGCGTCAAGCGAGCGGCGCGGGAAGCCGTCTCGTTGTCGCCGTTCTGCCGCTGCTACAGTGCCCAGCTGTTCCCGTGAACGTTGCGCTCATGTAGTGTGTGTGGGGTGTGTGTATGTGTGTGGGGTGTGTGTGGTGTGTGTGGTGTGTGTGGTGTGTGTGGTGTGTGTGTGTATGGGTGTGTGTGGTGTGTATGTGTGTGTGGTGTGTGTGGGTGTGTGTGGTGTGTGTGGTGTGTGTGGGGTGTGTGGTGTGTGTGGTGTGTGTGGGGTGTGTGGTGTGTGTGGTGTGTGTGGTGTGTGTGGTGTGTGTGGTGTGTGTGGGGTGTGTGGTGTGTGTGGTGTGTGTGGTGTGTGTGGTGTGTGTGGTGTGTGTGGTGTGTGTGTGGGGTGTGTGTGGTGTGTGTGTGTGTGGGGTGTGTGGTGTGTGTGGTGTGTGTGGTGTGTGTGGTGTGTGTGGTGTGTGTGTGTATGGGGTGTGTGTGGTGTGTATGTGTGTGTGGTGTGTGTGGGGTGTGTGTGGTGTGTGTGGTGTGTGTGGGGTGTGTGGTGTGTGTGGTGTGTGTGGGGTGTGTGGTGTGTGTGGTGTGTGTGGTGTGTGTGGTGTGTGTGGTGTGTGTGGTGTGTGTGGTGTGTGTGGTGTGTGTGGTGTGTGTGGTGTGTGTGGTGTGTGTGTGTATGGGGTGTGTGTGGTGTGTATGTGTGTGTGGTGTGTGTGGGGTGTGTGTGGTGTGTGTGGTGTGTGTGGGGTGTGTGGTGTGTGTGGTGTGTGTGGTGTGTGTGGTGTGTGTGGTGTGTGTGGTGTGTGTGGGGTGTGTGGTGTGTGTGGGGTGTGTGGTGTGTGTGGTGTGTGTGGTGTGTGTGGTGTGTATGTGTGCGTGGTGTGTGGTGTGTGTGTATGTGTGCGTGGTGTGTGTGTGTATGGGGTGTGTGTGGTGTGTATGTGTGCGTGGTGCGTGGTGTGTGTGTGGTGTGTGTGTATGTGTGCGTGGTGTGTGTGTGTATGGGGTGTGTGTGGTGTGTGTGGTGTGCGTGGTGCGTGGTGTGTGTGTGGTGTGTATGTATGTGTGCGTGGTGTGTGTGTGTATGGGGTGTGTGTGGTGTGTATGTGTGCGTGGTGCGTGGTGTGTGTGTGGTGTGTGTGTGTGGTGTGTGTGTATGTGCGGTGTGCACCATTTCAGGAGGTGGAGCGCCACAGGCAGGCCTGTTCTATCCTGGAGCACAAGTCTACGCAGCTCCAGGCCGCACTGGCTCAGAGGGAACAGCTCATGGAGGTGAGCAGCCCTCACCTGGCACCCCTCACCTGCTGCTGCTGCCGCTGCCATCAGCCCCTGCAGCAGGCCCCGCGCGCGTTGCCCACACCGCCCCTGGGTTCCCCACGCGACTCTACATCCCCTCGGCGGTGTCGGCCCTGAGCGCTCCTTTCCCCGGACCCCCTTCGCCTCCTCATTGGCCGGCGCTCTTCGTCTAACCTTCTCTCTCCTTGTCCTTCCCCTCCCCTCCCCCGCCTCTTGTCGTTTCTCCGCTCCCCCTTCGTTGCTGTGTCCACTCCGCTGCCCACGTCTCCAACTGCCCTCCGCTCTCTGTTGTCCCCTTCGTCGTTTCCCCTCCGTTCCCTCCGTTCCCTTCGGACCCCTGTCCATCGCCGCCCGTGGCCACTGCGCCGCCATGCCATATGAACCTCGCTCATGTTGTCGACGCCAATCCTCCGCTCGCTCGCCCACTCGCTTGCTCGCTCGTTCAATCGCTCACTCAATTTATTGTTTGCTCCATCAATCGCTTGCTCGATCAATAAACCAATCGCTCGACCAATAAACCACTCCCTCGACCAATAAACCACTCGCTCGATCAATAAACCGCTCACTCGATCAATAAACCGCTCGCTCGATCAATAAACCACTCGCTCGATCAATAAACCGCTCGCTCGATCAATAAACCGCTCGCTCGATCAATAAACCGCTCACTCGATCAATAAACCGCTCACTCGATCAATAAACCGCTCGCTCGATCAATAAACCACTCGCTCGATCAATAAACCGCTCGCTCGATCATTAAACCGCTCGCTCGATCATTAAACCACTCGCTCGATCAATAAACCACTCGCTCGATCATTGAACCACTCGCTCGCCCATCAGGAGAACGCGCGTCTCCACGTCCACGAGTGCGAGCTCGGCCAGGAGGTGTTGGATCTGCAGGAGACCGTGGGCTGGAAGGACAAGAAGATAGCGGTATGGCGACACGGCCGGGGTCAGTTAGAGGTCAGGGTTTACGGTTGGAGGTCAGGGTTCACGGTTGGAGGTCAGGGTTCACAGTTAGAGGTTAGAGGTCAGGGTTCACGGTTAGAGGTTAGGGTTCACGGTTGGAGATTAGGGTTCACGGTTGGAGGTTAGGGTTCACGGTTGGAGGTTAGGGTTCACAGTTAGAGGTTAGAGGTCAGGGTTCACGGTTAGAGGTTAGGGTTCACGGTTGGAGATTAGGGTTCACGGTTGGAGGTTAGGGTTCACGGTTGGAGGTTAGGGTTCACGGTTGGAGGTCAGGGTTCACGGTCAGAGGTTAGGGTTCACGGTCAGAGGTTAGGGTTCACGGTTGGAGGTTAGGGTTCACGGTTGGAGGTTAGGGTTCACGGTTGGAGGTTAGGGTTCACGGTTAGAGGTTAGGGTTCACAGTTAGAGGTCAGGGTTCACGGTTAGAGGTCAGGGTTCACGGTTCGAGGTTAGGGTTCACAGTTAGAGATTAGCGTTTTGGGTTCAAAGTTTGGTTTTGGGTGAGAGTTTTGGAGTTAGGGTTTGGGTGAGGGTTAGACGTTAGGGTTTACGGTTGTGGGTTATGGTTAGGGGGTGAGGGCTAGATTATTAGGGTTTAGCAAGTAGGGTTAGGAGGCGAGGGTTAGAGGGTGCCGGGTTTTAGTTTAGGAGTTGCGGTTTGGCATTAGAGTGCGGCGTTGATTCGGGATTATGGGTTTGGGTGCGGGGTTAGCGTGCAGGGTTGGGGCGTGGGGTTCGGGTGCGGGGTTGGGGTACGGGATGGGGATACAAGGTTGGGGTGTGAGGTTAGCGTGGGGGGTTGGGGTGCGGGGTTGGGGTTCGAGGTTGGGGTGCGGGGTTAGCTTGGGGGTTTGGGGTGCGGGATTGGGATGTGAGGTTGGGGTCACGTGGAGATCGACTGCTCTTCTCACCCCGTCTCTTGGATGGAGTTCTCCGTGCACTGACCTCACTCTTCTCTCCCGTCGCCCGTGTGTGACCGCCCCTCCCCTCCCGCTTTCCCTATCTCCGTTATCTCTCTCCCACCGGTCTTTCCATCTGGCCATCTGTCTGCCCGTTTGTACCATTGAATCTGTCCGGCTGTCCGTCCGTTTGTCCGTCTGCCTATCCCTTCGTCCATCTGTCCTTCTGTCTGTCCTTGCTTCCGTGGCGGGCCTGCTGCCAGGCTCTGGAGAGGCACAAGGCCTACTGTGATAGCCTCAGAGCGGAGAGAGATGATGAGCCGGGAGCTGAGGTTTGCCGTCCGCTCCACGGGATTCAGGTACTGTCGCCGCCGCTGCTGCCGCCGCCACCACCGGCAGAAACACCGAATGCGCGTGTGGGCGTGGTGCTGGCCACCCACCCCCTCGTTTGCCGTGCCGGCCTTCATAGGTGCTGCTCGCTAACAGCGCTTGCCCCAAACATCTGTTAAGGTTATACGGGGGATCTTTTGTCTTTTTGTGTGTGCGCGCGCATGTGTTTTGGTGAGTGTGTGTGGGGAGCGTAAGTACGGTGGTTAGCGCGCTCTGCTACAAACCCAGCTACCCGAGTTCGATTCCCGCTCACGGTCATCACCAGTGAAACATTTTCTGAACCAGTGCTGGCCACCCACCCCCCTCGTGTGCCGTGCCAGCCTTCATAGGTGCTGATCGCTAACGGCACTTGCCCCAACAGTCTGTTCAGGGCTACACGGGGGATCTGTGTCTGGGTGTGTGCGTGCGTGCGTGTAGAGGCACGGGCTGGCCGTGGTGCAGGGCTCCGTGTGTAACGGGGAGCAGGAGGAGACGGGGGCGGCGCCGCTTGCGCTGGTGTCGCGGGCGTCGGCGCGGATCCTGGACGCGCTAGGGGACGGGCCCCTGGGTACGACCCCGGCACACCGTGCACGACCACGGCACACACCGTGCACGACCACGGCACACACCGTGCACGACCACGGCACACACCCCGCACGACCACGGCACACACCGTGCACGACCACGGCACACACCGTGCACGACCACGGCACACACCGTGCACGACCACGGCACACACCGTGCACGACCACGGCACACACCGTGCACGACCACGGCACACACCGTGCACGACCACGGCACACACCGTGCACGACCACGGCACACACCGTGCACGACCACGGCACACACCGTGCACGACCACGGCACACACCGTGCACGACCACGGCACACACCGTGCACGTCCACGGCACACACCGTGCACGACCACGGCACACACCGTGCACGACCACGGCACACACCGTGCACGTCCACGGCACACACCGTGCACGTCCACGGCACACACCGTGCACGACCACGGCACACACCGTGCACGACCACGGCACACACCGTGCACGTCCACGGCACACACCGTGCACGACCACGGCACACACCGTGCACGACCACGGCACACACCGTGCACGACCCCGGCACACACCGTGCACGTCCACGGCACACACCGTGCACGACCACGGCACACACCGTGCACGACCACGGCACACACCGTGCACGTCCGGACGTCCACCCCGCTAGTGGCGCTTGTGACGTCCGAAGATCTTTTTAAAATCTATATAGAAAACTCATTTCTTTATAAAACTAATTTATTTAGAAATGAGTTTTGTTCATAATATAGGTTTTTGGGTCAGATCGCGTTATTTATAAATGTGTCATAACCCTCCACCACCCGACACGGCCAAACAGTAAAAAATTGACAAAATAATTCACTTCTTTAGCCCACCGGTGTGTTGAAGAGATAATCAACAGCATTTAAAATTTGAGTAGTACGACGTTTCGCTGATAATTACAATCAGCTTCATCGGGCAAGAATGGTGAAGCTCTCCTGTTGCTCCCGGTCTTAAATAGAGCAGCAGCAGGGTGACGTCATCATTTAATTCAATCTGGTGCAGTGATTGGCCATGTCGGGGGTGGTGGAGGGTTATGACACATTTATAAATAACGCGATCTGACCCAAAAACCTTTATTATGAATAATATTGGTGGCGAAAGCCTGCTGCGTGTTAAAGTGAGTTTTGTGTTTAGTTTGTTGTCCTCCCCCACCCACCTGCACCTCCGACGAGCACTGTTGGCTACATACGGTGGTGTGAAAGAAGTTCAACATACGTACTACGTACGTACACAGAGCAGGGTCTGTTTTCACAGGGGGCTGGGAGAGGTGGAGGGAATCGGAGTGTGGGTGGCCACACAAAGGTCACGTGATTTACCGGTGACTTGAGCTGTTTTAGATTCGTCTGTGGCCGTGACCAGCGACTGGTGTCGTCTTGATAATCGCTGTCCGTGTGCCAGTGGTTGGCAGACTTCAAACTGAAGGTTCTTGCCACGAGGGAGACGGCCTAATTCCTGTCGCAGCCTCGTTAGAGTTCGCTGTCAGTGCACAGCCAAGCAGACACGAGCACTTCCTTTAACCCGAACTACACTATCCAACCAGACACTATCTATAACCCTTACACGAGCCAACAAGACCTTAGTCCTAACCCTAACTACACTAGCCAACAAGACCTTAGTCCTAACCCTAACTACACTAGCCAACCAGACCTTTAGCCCTAACCCTTAATACACTAGCCGACCATAAACTATCTATAACCCTTACACGAGCCAACAAGACCTTAGTCCTAACCCTAACTACACTAGCCAACAAGACTTTAGTCCTAACCCTAACTACACTAGCCAACCAGACCTTTAGCCCTAACCCTTAATACACTAGCCAACCATAAACTATCTATAACCCTTACACGAGCCAACAAGACCTTAGTCCTAACCCTAACTACACTAGCCAACAAGACCTTAGTCCTAACCCTAACTACACTAGCCAACCAGACCTTTAGCCCTAACCCTAACTACACTAGCCAACCAGACCTTAGTCCTAACCCTTACTACAATAGCCAACTATACACTAGCCCTGACCCTAACCACACGTACATAGCGGAACCCGTCGGATGAGCATTGAGGCATCGGCACTCGTCTCCTGTTCGCATCACTGCACAGCCAGTGGCGGAAATTCCACATTCCTATGGCGGGAGCGAATCTTTCCACAAGACAACCGCTGTTGACTTTCCCTACCACCCCCCCTCCCCCACACACTGGCGACCTGCTGATGTGGCGACGCTCACTTCAACCGGCGTGTCCTGTTGTACCAGTGGGGGGGCGGGGGCTGCACCAGTGGGTAGGGGCTGCACCAGTGGGGGGGGGAGGGGGGGCTGCACGAGTGGGTAGGGGCTGCACCAGTGGGGGGCGCCGTGTCTCTGACTGTTCTCTGTCCCCCGTGGGTTCTGTCTGTGCAGACGTGAGGCTCACGAAACTGACAGAGGAGAGGGACGGGCTCGAGGAGCAGGTACCCCCCCCCCCCCCCCACCCTGGCGGCGGGCACCTTCATTGACCCCTCGCACCTCCCTCATCGGAACCCTGCGCTGACCCCCCTCGACCCCCTGCACCCCCCCTCGATCCCCTGCACTGACCCCCCTCGACCTCCTGCACCCCCCCCCCTCAAAACCCCTGCACTGACCCCTCTCGACCCCCTGCACCCCCCCCCTCGACCCCCTGCACTGACTCCCTGTGGACCCCCTGCACCCCCCCCTCGACCCCCTGCACTGACCCCCCTCGACCCCCTGCGCTGACTCTCTGTGGACCCCCTGCACCACCCCCCCCCCTCGACCCCCCCCGTCCCCCGTAGGTGCGGAGGCTGAAGTCCGAGCTGGAAGCGGAGCGTCAGAAGGGGGGCGGCGTGAGGGGGGGCGAGGTGGGGGGGGGCCCCGGCGTGGGGGGGGCCGGCGAGGCGGGGGGCCCCGACGACTTCGTCACCGGCGACGGCGCCGCCGCCCACGTCGCCGAGATGCAGAGTGAGGGCGGCTCACGGCGGCCGCGTCGCGAGTCGCGGGGTCGACGCTGGGCGGGTCACGGGGTCACGGTGCAGCTCCTGCAGTTGGGTGGCCGTCTCTCACTCGTGTACAGCAGCTCCACTGCTGGATGATGAGTCCCGCCCCATACTGTGAGGGCTTCCTGATTGGACGGCACTGGAATCCTGCTGCTGCTGCAGCTGCTGCTGCTACAGCTGCTGCTGCTGCTGCAGCTGCTGCTGCTGTAGCTGCTGCTGCTGCTGCTGCTGCTGCTGTTGCTGCTGCTGCTGCTGCTGTTGCTGCAGCTGCAGCTGTTGCAGCTGCTGCAGCTGCTGCTGCTGCTGCTGCTGCAGCTGCTGCTGCTGCTGCAGCTGCTGCTGCTGCTGCTGCTGCTGCTGCTGCGGCTGCTGCTGCTCCTGCAGCTGCTGCTGCTGCGGCTGCTGCAGCAGTTGCAGTCAGTCGTCTCCTTGCAACTCTTCTGTTGCTACTACCACTACTATCACCGCCACGGGAACTGTTCCGTGGTGATCTTCACTCGTTGATTCCGGGCACTGACTGCTTCTGTCTAAACCGCCGCACTTTGAGCACGTCACAAATTCTCTTTATAGTTATCGTCGTTGTTCACCAGGCTACTCTTTTGCGATGTGTTGTGACGCACGTGCGTGTCGGTTCGTCGCGGCAGGGGAGGCGCAGCGCCAGGTGAGCGAGTTGAAGTTCAAGGTGGCCAAGGCGGAGCAGGAGAAGGCGGCGCTCGAGCAGAACGTGAGAGCGGCGCACGCGATCGCACCGCCGCTGCTGCTGCTACTGCTGCTGCCACTGGTGGTGGTGCTGCTGCTGCCGCTGCTACCGCTGCTGCTGCTGCTGGTGGAGCTGCTGGTGACGCTGGTGGTGGTGCTGGTGCTACTGATAGTGGTGGTGCTGCCGCAAAGGCTGGTGGTGGTCGTTTGGTCTGAGCTGCCGCTGCTGGCTCTGCTAACTCTCGATTGCACTGTCATTGCTCGCGCTACCACAAACACCACTACCGCCACGACCACCACGACCACCACGATCATCGCTATCACCATCTCCGCAACTGCTAACACCACCCTCGCCACCAACACCACCACTACCGCTGCCATCGTCACCATCACCACCTTCATCACCACCACCACCATCATCATCACCATCCCCGCATGCGGCACTGCCACCACCGCCCCAACCACGACCGCCACCCACACCGCCACCTCTGCCACCATTACCACTCTCACCATTCCCTCCCCTCCCCACCCCCCCCGCCCCCCGCGAGTGCAGGTGCTGCGTCTGGAGGCGCAGGCGTTGCGTCTGCGGGGGGCCGCCGAGGGCTGGGAGCGCACCGAGGACGAGCTGAAGGCGGAGCGGCGCCGCCTGCAGCGGGAGCTGCGGGCCGCCCTGGACCGCCTGGACGAGCTGCAGCTCACCAACGGGCACCTCGTGCGGCGCCTCGACAAGATGAAGGCCAACCGCTCCGCTCTGCTCAGCCAGCAGTAGCACGCGCGGGGGGGGGGCGGGGGGGCGGGGGGAGGTAGAGCACGGGGGGGAGGGGCCGGTGCGTCGGTGGGGTGGGGGGGGTCTGAGAAACGGCTCGTCCCCCTACTCCCCCTCGGTGGATGGGGGAGTAGCGGGAGAAGGGGGGCCACCGGGAATGTGCGCGTGGGGGTCTGAGAGACCACTCGTCCAGCAGTGGCAGGGGGTTAAGGGGGGGGTGGCTGGAGGGGTGGTTGGGTGGGTGTGACTTCCACTTAGAGCAGCAAAAAAAAAAATCCAAGCGTGTGGAGGGAGTGTGGGGACCCAAAACCCTTAGGGGGTGACCTCATCCAGCAGCGCTGGGGAGCTGGGGCGGGGGGGGGGCGGCGGTGAGGGGGGGTGGACTAGGCCTGCTGAGGCCTGTGGGTTGCTTCCACTCATCCAGCAGTGGAGATGAAGTGGAGGGAGGCCCCAAGGCTGGCTGGCAGCAGCCTTGGCGGGGCGCTCAGGAGGATGGCGCCGTGCAGGCCGCAGGATGCGGGGTTCTGTGCGGTGGGTGAGCAGCAGTAGGTGGCGGCGGCGTAGCACCGTGGTGCCACGGTGAACCACGTTGAAGCACGGTGGTCTAGAGGATTGGGAGTCGTCGCTCGGCCAGCGGGGGCCGCCTTGTCGCGTCTGGGATGACCACCACCACCACCACAACCACTACCACTGCCACCACCACGAGCAGCAGCAGCAGCAGTGGCACTTGGGATGGAGCTGGGCAGGGGTCCCAGAGGCGCCAGAATGAGCAACTCGGTCACTCGGAGCGTGAAGCCACCGGTGGACGTGGCCTAATATTCCATTTTTCACGGTCACATCCGAGCCAGTTTGGATGTGATACCATCACGGCACGGGTGGATTTCCCCCGGCTGGTTGCCGTGCCGAGCCACAGGCAAAGCCGCTGTCCTCGCGAGACGCCCGAGTCTGGGGCCAAGCAGGCCCAGGGCCGGCACCGCGGTTCGTTCGCTGCGTTGCAACGCCAGCGGCTCGGCTCGGATCGGCTTGTGCAGTGGAAAAACAACGCGGAGTCTCCTGAGCTACGCCGCGCTGGCTTGGGCACGGCCCTGGCTCTGCCGCGGCTCCCGCCTTCGGTTGGGCAGTGGAAAAGGGGGGGGGGGGTGGGGGTGAGGACTCGACATAATGAGCAGTGGCATTGGGAATCAACCTGGGCTGGAGTTGGGAGGTCCCAGTTATTGGGCACTCGCTCCTGACCCCCCTATAGGCCTATAGGGCTGTGAAAAGCATCGGACTCTCCGTCAAAGACACATTTTTGTTGTCCCGCCCCCCCGCACCTCCGATTAGCGCGGTTGGCTACGCACGCTGCGAAAGAAGTTCAACACACGTACAAGTTGCGTGTGGAGCTACCGCTACTTTGCTCTTTAAATTATAATCGCTTGTGTTGGGGGGTGGAGGATGCGGGATGGGGGGGCTTGTGCCGGGGGCTCGTGCGGTGGTAGCGGGGAGGGGGGGAGCTGGCGCTTGGGCCAGCACCGGCGACAGATTTCAGCGAGGCAAGGCGAGCGGTGTGCGCGCGTCTGTGCGACGCTGTCGGTGGGGAGTGGTGGCGTGGTGGTTGGCGCACTGCGCTACAAATCCAGCGACCCGAGTTCGCACCCACAGCCAATATTGGTGACGATTATTTGAACCGGTGCTGGGACCCCTCCCCTGGTGCGGGGTGTGTACAGCATAAGCACTGGGAAGACAAAAGCGGCCGGGCGTGGTGCTGGCCACGCACTCCCTCGTGTGCCGCGCTGCCCTTAATAGGTGCTCGCTAACAGCACTTGCTCCAACAGCCTGCTAAGGGCTGTACGGGGGGTGGGGGGGGGGTATTTGTGTTTGTGCAACGCTGTTTAACGCATGACGGCGGCAACGATCGCACACTTCAGTCGGCTCGATTCAAACACAGCGCTGGGTTCTGTTCACGATGAGGGGTGCCCATCGCAGCGGGAGAGTGCGTCCCGGGCCGAATAGACACATTGATGTAAGACAGGCCTGAGAGGGCCGTGGCTGTTAGCGTCGTTACGATGGCTCGCAACAACGCGAGTTTACCCAGGAAAGCCTCAACTGAGGTCTCAAGATGTTTGATGTTTTGTTTCTTCCAAGAGGGGGTCCTTGTCAGGTTTTCACAGCATTATGGGGGGGGGGGGCGATGTTGCCTCTTGCCGCGCCGCTGCCGCGCACGCCTCGGCGTGTGATTTCGAACGACGGAGAGAGGAGAGAGCCCTCCCCTCTAGCGGGAGGGTATTTGGCCTACCCTTCCACGCTGGCCAGACGTCGTCTCGTTGCTTCCCGTTGGAGACGGGCGCCCGCACGCGCAGGCGTCGCATCCGCTCGGCCGATTGGCAACGAGCCGGCTCCGGGGTCGGCTCCGGGTTTGGCTTGGGTTCGCCCGGGGTGTTTGCGATCGAAATCGCCCGACGGCCTCGCGAATCCTCGCAACCGCTCGCTCGCTATCTCGCTCGCTGGTGGATCGCGGACGAAGGAGTCGCGGGCGACGATTTTGAGACGAGCGATTTTCCCGCACATCTCCGATTAATGGCAGCAGCAGCATGCAGCAGCAGCAGCAGCATGCCGCCGCTGTGGATTACCTGTGGAGCTCTGGTGGAGGGGAGTGAATTACATTACACACCACCCCCCCGGCCTTCCGGTTCGATCAGTGTACCCCCCCCCTTCTTCCACCCCCCCCCCCCCCCCCGTGGTCTCTACCAGGGCCGTCGGTTTACATTCACAATGGAATCATCTCGTTTAATTTATCAAGCAAGAGCCACTTTTGTTTTTATTTTTCGCCGTTATGTATTTTGTGGGGAATTTTTTCAGTTAAGGGTTCGTTCGGGGGTCGTTAGAGACTCGGGGCAGGGTAGGGGGGGGGCCGGGGGGGGGCAAACGAAAATAACGAGAAGGGACTTTTTTTTGTACCAATTTGGTGAAAAATGTTCAATATTCCCAAGAGCCGCAACGCACGCGGTGAACACGAGAGACGGCGGTCCTCACTAAACGACGTCACGAGGGAGTTCGATAATCCTCCTCATCCCGTACGGGGCAGGAGGCCGCAATGCGTTCCCTCCACCTCTTCCTGTCCCTGGCCACGTGTCGAGCGTCGCCCCAAGAGGGGGCGATCGCTGCCGCCAACTCGTCCTCCGCGGCATTGCGCCACGTGCTCTCGGCCCTCCCGGAGTTTCTCTTTGCCCGGTTTGGTGCGCGGTCCTGAGAACGAGCCGTCGGGGTCGCCGTCGGGGTCGCCATCTCTCGCGCGTGACATTAGGACAAGCGGTCTTCCTGTACACTTCGGCGTTGCGGATTTCGTTTGGCCACGAGGAAGCGGGTGTCCATTCAAGAGCCGCAGGTTGCACGACCCCCTGGGCTAGGGTGACAAGAATCGGGATCTGTCCCGAGTCTTCAAGAGGACGGGGGCGGTTGCGAAGCCCCATGCTTCCGAGTAACTTCGGGGCCCAGCTCCTCGTTCGGTAACGGATGTTGCGAGCGAGCGAGCGAGGTTGTTGGTAGTGGTAGTGTTCATGATGCTCGGGGAGGATTCCCGGGCGTTTGGGGAAGCACCGACGTTCCGTCACCGTATTCATTACAAGGGCCGGCTCACGGGCGCCCTGCCATATTTATCTTAGGGCAGTAGAGGCGTCTCGTAATTAACGCGCGTTTTTTGCATTTAGTGCCAACTACACTCGAGTGACACCACCTAACGCGTTCATTAACAGCGTGTCGGGCAGGTGAAGGGCGATGACGCGATCTCCATGCGGCAACACGCGCGCCGCCGTTGTTGCGTGCAGAGGTCGCCTCGAGTTGGGTCTTCATTGCGTTTACCTGTTGCCTGTGACCTCTCGCCTGGGCACAGGTGTGAGTTGCGTCTCATCACCGCCGGGACACGGGTGGGTGGGTAGCTCACCTGCCTACAGGTGTGGGTGGGTAGCTTACCTGTCCACAGGTGTGGGTGGGTTGCTTACTTCGCCATAGACGTGAGTTGTATCTCATCGCCACTTGGCCACAGGTGTGAGTGGGTATCTCACCTGGGTACAGGTGTGTTGCATCTCACCACCGCCTCTGCACACGTGTGCGCTTGCGTGACGCTGCGTCGCTGCGGGGCGACCTGCATTCACGTACACGCCTGTGTGTGAGGAGTGTGTGAGGAGTGTGTGTGTTCACCATCTCGCAGGTGTGTCTGTGCGCGCCCCCTCGTGCGTGCGGTAGTGCGTGCGGGGTGACCCCCATTCACCTGCAGACGTCTCTGGCCGCCGCCGCTGATCTCAAACGCGAGACTCGGATTTGTCCGCGAGCAACGGCCAGAAGCGGACACGTCGTGTTGTGTGGCGGTACCAGGTTCTTTACATGGCCAATAAAAGCTGAATCGTGACAGCCCGCAGCGTTTATTTCGTTTGGTGCATAATAAAACACAAAAACAAAACTGAATACAGTACGTGCTTCAATAGCGCGGCACCAACAGGAGAACTCTGTGCGAGTGACGACATCCCGGGCAATGCCTCTTCCTGGCAGACAAGGTCCATCGCCCGACACGTCGCCCGCCATCTCTACAGAGGACGCTTTCCTCTTGCGGCCCGCACACGGTGTTGGCGAATTCGTGTGGAGTTGTCAACTGAAATGGCCCTCACGTTTTACGTCCTATGAAGAAGGGCCATTGCCCGAAACGTCGCCAATTTTATGTTGTTGACGAATCTCGTTGGGGTTTTTTGTTGTTCATTGCACAGGGACTAATCTACTTACGAACATTCGACTCGCGAACTTTCAGAGGTACGAACAAACCTTTCCGTAGGAAAAAATACGAATTCGTTTTACCCTTTCTGGCAAAAAAACAGAAGGTGTTAAGATGTTCCAACACCAAATAGAAACCTTTTGCACGGAATCCAGTGCTGCATTAACCGCACGTACTTGTGGTGAGCATGCAAACAAACATGCTCTGTACTCTGGTTCTTTCAGTAAAGTCACGTAGGTATAAAATTAACAAAAACATGCTCTGATAATCGATGGCATTGTCTCTGAAACTGATTGGCCTTCGCCAGAGCTGCAGCCTTCTTTAGGGCCTCGTCTCACCAGTGTCAGACCAGGGAACGCCACAAGGCGAACAGCACAAAGACGATGCCCGTGTCAGAGCATTTATAGCTCGGGGTGAGCAGCTACCAAATGGGACCTTTTTGCCTGTCCGGCGATCCTGTTCGGAGTGATGTTCCATAGGTCTGTTCGTAAGTCGATTTGTCCGTAAGCTACCTGTTCGAACCCAGAGTCGGTTCAACCGCTGTGAAATAGATGGCGGCGGTGGCATCTGCAGAACATGAAGAACCAGTGACATCTACAGGAGGTTATATAACTCTTAAAGCCATTCCCCGTGTGTTTAGTGTACACGCCGTGCAACGTGTTTGGAATCGACAGCAGTAATGTTGTACTTACGAACAAATCGACTTACGAACAGACCTCTGGAACTTAGCTCGTTCGTAAGTAGAGGAGTCCCTGTAAATGAAATTGAGGGTTTGGTTACAATGCCACCCGACTGCCAGCCGGAGCCGATGCCCCTCGGTGTCTGGGTGTGGCTCAGGGAGCCGGCCCCACGCGAGCTCGTTGTCCACCGCAACTCACCACCACACGACTCACTCCCGGGTCAACTCCTCCCACGATTTGCAATAAAGTCACATTCCGTAGGACGCGTGGAGGAAAGTGTGCCGCGTGTGTGAGCGTGGTGAGTGGTGGCGGGCGATTGTGTGAG